GGGAATTCTGGGAGTTGAAGTCCACACAGCTTGAAGTGGCCACGGTTGAGAAACACTGCTCCAGATGCATAAAAATAATTCTGCATGCTGATTTTAAAAACAAACCAAGCTTGGCTTCTCCTACACCCTTGTTTGTTAGATTTATACCTGCCTTTATGAACTTTATCAAAAAAGACTCTTGGCCCTTTATGATACATCCATAAAAATACAATAAAACTTTCACAGTGTAACCATAAAAGCAAATACCAACCAACCCCAAATTACATAGAAATCAATCGAATAACAATGGGTCAGTTCATGCCCCAAAGAAATAACTTATTTTTTAGTAACTTAGAGCCAACAGCCGGAGATTGGTCAAATTTCTGGGGGGAAGCTGTTCCAAAGAGCAGGTGCACCAGCCGAAAAATAGTTCTGAAAGTGTCCCTCACCTCACAGAAGTGGGGATCCACAAGCAGATTCTTCAGAGACACGTGAATCTGGTGGGTTGAATTTGGCCAGGGAATATGGTCCTGCAAACCCTCCAGTGCCAAGCCAGGTAGGGCTTTGATCAAATCAAAACTCTATTAAGGTAATTAACCAGAAAACCAAGATTAAATTGCAAAATGTACAGATGTATCGCCTGCCCATCTCTGCACAACTGATTCCTTGCAGGTTTCGATTTGCATCCTGGGGTGGTAAAAAAGTCTCATTTTTACCCAGAATTGTGCCTGGCCTCCCAATTCTCTGTCGCTTCCAACAGATAATCGTTTTGTGAAAGAAGAGGACGTTGCATCTGGAAGCATAAAGCACGTGGAAATCCCTCGGTCCCTGACAAGAGGAAATACGTTCCGGAGTTTGAGCCGGGCCAGCCAGTATAAAACTGAACGACAGCAAGGCAGTCCTATGGGGAAAAGATTTGGCAAGAAGCCGTACAGGGCTTCAAATTGTGGGAAGATGTTTATATGGAGAAAGTATTTCCTGGCTCAGGAAAAGAGCTACCCAGGAGAGAAACCATACACGTGTTCCTACTGCGCGAAGACATTCAACATGAGATCGTACCTCCTTGTCCACGAGCGAACCCACACGGGAGAAAAACCCCACAAATGCTCCCTCTGTGGGAAAGGTTTCACCGTGAAGTCATACCTTATTGCTCACTGGAGAACGCACACCGGGGAGAAGCCCCACGTCTGCTCCTTTTGTGGGAAAAGCTTCAGCGGCCGATCCAACCTCAACCGACACCAGCGAAGCCACACGGGCGAGAAGCCATACACCTGCTCCGTGTGCGGCCGGGGCTTTAGCCATAAGGCGCACATGATCCGGCACGAGCGGATCCACACGGGAGAGAAGCCGTATAAATGCTTGCAGTGCCTAAAAAGCTTCAGCCAGAGCTCCACTCTTACTTCCCACGAGCGGACGCACACGGAGAAGCCGTTCAAGTGCTCCCACTGCGAGAAGAGCTTCAGCCAGAGCGCCAAGCGGGTGGCGCACGAGAGAGCCCATATGGGTGAGAAACCCTTTGAATGCCCCGCGTGTGGCAAAGGTTTCAACCACCGGTCGGATTTCATCATCCACGAGAGAAGCCACACAGGTGATAAGCCCTACGCCTGTCCTGTCTGCGGGAAAAGCTTCAGCGGACGATCGAACCTTACCAGACATGAGAGGAGCCACACGGGGGAGAAGCCGTACCTCTGCTCCCTCTGCGGCAAGGGCTTCTGCCATAAAGCCCACCTCTTGCGCCACGAGAAGATTCACACAGGGGAGAAACCGTACAAATGCACCGTCTGCGGCGAGAGGTTCAAGCACAGGATGGACCTCATTGGCCACGAGCGGGGACACTTGGGGGGGAAGCAATACATGTGCACCGCCTGCGGGAAAAACTTCAGTGGGAAGTCCAACCTCAACAGACACAAGAGGAGTCACACCGGGGAGAAGCCGTTTACGTGTGTGGTGTGCAGCAGGAATTTCAGTCATAAAGCCCACCTGATTAGACACGAGAGGATCCACACTGGGGAGAAGCCCTACGCATGTTCCCACTGCCCCAAAAGTTTCAACCAGAGCTCGACCCTGGTGGCACATGAGCGGATCCATGCAGGTGACCAGCCCTATAAATGCTGACCCTGGAGAAACAGCGTCTCCGGTCTGACTGTAATACATAATACATACATAATGCACACGATCCTATGATTGATTGATTGATTGATTGATTGATTGATTATTAAATTTGTATGCCGCCTATCTCCCCCCAATGGGTGACTCTGGGCGGTTCACAATTAAAATCAGAAACCCCATCAACAATTAAAAGTCCTCCCATAAATAGTTAAATAAATACAGTGGTACCTCGGTTCACGAACTTAATTCATTCCACGATTCTGGTCGCGACCCGAATCAAATTTTCCCATAAGGTTCAATGTAAATAAGGTTAATCCGTTCCGAACCATATGTATTTTTTTTTTAACCACAAAAATATGACACAAAGTACAGTACAGTACAGTGGACGTGGTGGCGCAGCAGCTTAATGACGCTGAAAGTTGCCGGCCAGAAATGGCTGACGCTTCGGCGGTTC